TCCAAAATTATTTCCCGCACGCTTCAACTGGTAAAAGGTGTTTTGGTGTGGTTTTTTTTTGGTTTTTTGTTTTTTTGTTTTTTTTTTTTTAATTTAACTTGGAGTTATACTTCCACTCAATATTATCATAAAATTAACTGTAGCGGTAGATCAAAGAAAATCCATATCAGAATTAGTCACTTAAAAGAACCCTGTCTGGCTACTGGCCACATCTAATTTCCACCTCCTAGAAAGCGCTTTATGAATCAACATTAAATCACAGAACGACCTACACTTAATCCACACCAAAAAAAAAAAAAAAAAACAACCAACCAACCCAATGCACCAGCTCGCAGCTGCTTATCTGCACCGTATATTTTACCGACGCTCCGCTCCAAAGACCCGCTAATGAAGAAACACTTAAGAAACTGGGATCAGAAAGCTGAGCCCGGCTGAAACAAGCTTAATCCCTATATTTGGTACGACTCCTCCGCATTAAAGAAACTCCAGCTCGTCTGGAATCAGCCTTTATGCAACTCCAAACACAGAGCGCAGGTTTGCTGGTTGAGTGAGGCTCGAATTGGGTGGTTTGGGTGAACTTGCACCTACAGCCCAGCCCTTCAGCGCCGCACAAGGCGCGGGCAAGCTCTCCACTGCTCTTCAAGATACTTCGTTACGGCGTAAAATGACATTCCCCTGAAATAACCAGCAGCTGAAAGGCAAGAAACGATGCTGGAGGGGGAGCAGATGATAAAAATGAACGAGCCCACCGCCGGCGGTACCGACAGCTCTCAGCAGCGCCGCGGAGCCGGTCGGGCACACGCAAACCAACGTTTGAGCTTCAGTTCCTCGTCCCCACGACGGCTCCAGCGTGCGACGACTGTCCCGGCCAACAGCCAGACCCCAAGGCCACTCCAGAAACGCCCAAAACAGCGGGAAGCCCATCCCAACAGCCCGTGCAAGGCGGCAGCAAACGACGCGTAACCAACCGAGACCGACCCGCTCAAATATCAGACGGGCACGCACCGCTCCCGCGCGTCTCATCAAGCGCCACCCTGGCTGATCATGAATATTTAAGAAATATTCAACGATGGGTGTCATTTGCACGGAGACGGTTCGTGAACAGAAGAGAGTCCAAAGAGAGGACCTTCAGGTTATTAAATCCAAGTGACTTGATCCAGCTCGAGAGAGAAGGAGGCCTTATTTACAAAATAGTAGTGATAGTGGAGAATCCGTTAATTCCCCTATCAACCCACCTAGAGAAGTCAGTCACACAGAGCCCGCCGCACCCTCTGCTTCTACATTTTTGTGTCAACCACCCGACACAAAATCCTCCCTTGAAGCTCATCGCCGAGGCGGGACCACCAATAAAGCCGACGCCTTGCGCACCACGCCTCAGGGACGCGCTGTTGCGAGAAGAAGGGGTGAAGGGTGCAGAAAGAGACAGCAAAGGAATTTTGATTTTCAATCTTCCCCCCAAAATTACAGCCCGACGTGCGGCTCGCCCGCTGCTGCCTCAGCTCCCTCCTCTAAAGGGGAGGGAGGGCGCGGAGCTCTACGGATGGAGGGCGGCAGAATAACCTCCGTATTCTACCTTTATAAACTCCTGATATATAAAAATGTGTAAAATAGAGATATAATAAGAGTACTTGCATCTTCAACAGTGCCTGCTGCAACGGCTAATGAGCTGTATGAGGAGGAAAGGCCTTAATTTCAGGAAAAGTCTTCCAACGAAGGCAAACTGGCCGGTTCCTGCTACAGCTAAGGCTGCGATTTCCGTCGGCCTTCATGAGAACAGAGGGACGCAGCCACTTAAAAGTCCAGTCTCTCCACACAAAACAAAGCAAAAACGCAGCGGAAAGACCCTTCCTTTCCAACGAAGCCCCCGAGTCGGCAAGCTGCTCGCCACCACCTCCCCAACCCTCTCGCCGTACCCCGCAAGGCGGGCGAGGCGTTCCCCCCCTTTTGAAACTCGGGCTTTGCCACAGGCAGCGCTAATCCCGCAGCACCACGCCACGGCGGGCACGGAGCTAGCGCTGCTTGGTAAGCACAAATCCCCCACCCTGCCTCACAGAGAGGCAGCCAAAGCTTCTGTTATTTTTTTTTTTTTTTTTTTTACAAAAAAAAACAATATGTTAAATGAGACCGCGGCCATCAGCTACCCGCAGCTTTACGACGCACAACGCTTTTATCACAAGCTTTCGTTCAGGCGCAGGGCTCAGACAAGCCCCGGACCCGCAGGGAGAAGTCGCCAAAAAGCAGCAGAATGTCATAAAATCATCCCCACCAGTAAAACCACCGGGCAGCTTTACCAGGCGTGCTCGTACCCCACGGCGGCTGCGGGCTCCCACTTACCACGGGGTTAAGATCCCGCACGCGTGGACCGGCTCGCTCCAGGCTGCCTCGTTAACCACCGCTCCGAGCGGTCGTTCTCTTCTCCCAACCAGAAGGAAGGGGCAGGAGAGCCCCCAAGCCTTGAGCGACTCACTCTCTGTTACCTGTCATGACGTTAACCACTACCAAAAGCGCTCACCGCCCCGCCGGCTTGCGCCGGGAAGTTGAAATAAACTCACCAAAGAGGAGTTTAAACAAGCTGAATGACACCGGGCTGTGCCCCAGGGCACCCAAACCTCTGGCGAATAAGTGGAATTAATCCTTAGGCCCGGCAAATAAATCTCTGAACGGCTCAGGCCAAGTAAGCACAAATCAAAAGCGAGAGGCAGAAACGCTGTTAACCTGGAGTCGAGCTAGCTCGCCGCTTGTGTTTAAAACACCCTTGTCCGTACAGCAGAGGCAGCCCGGAGCTGGAAAGAGATTTCTGAAGGCATTTCTCTTAAGAGATAGGAGCGAGATTTCTCCCTCAAAAGCAAAAGGATCCGCTTTGTTTCCTGGTACAAAAGCTGAGGTGCTTCACAGGCGCTTCTCTGCGCGGCAGGACGAAAGGAGCGGCGCGGAGAATCTGGGTTCAGCCACGGGAGGCTGTCGGTGCGACAGCCGGAGCGAGCGGCGCCGAGACGCCCGGCAGGAACACAAGAGGCTAAAACCACGCAAAGGCACCCACGATTTATATTAAAAACAACCTGGACGACACAGGTAAGAGCCCACAGAAACCCCAGCAGAACAAAACAAACCCCGAGACCTTCCACAGGCAGAGAGAGCCCATCCGTACAGGTGGCTGGAGTGTTAAAAATTAAAAAATAAGTCCCAAATGCTTCGCGCTCGCCCGTGGACGGGGCAGTTTGTGCCAAGCGTGGGCAGCCGGGGCGCAGAGGAACCACCTTCAGCCTCCTGCCCCGGCGCGGGGTGCGGGTGAAATCCGTCCTCTTCATCCCGCCGCATCCCTCGCCCATCCCCGATTCCCCGCTCTCGCCCCGAAGGCTGACCAGGAACTCCTCGAAGCGCCCTGCGAAACGGTTACCTCCGCATCCGCGCTAATTGCGGCCTCGTTACCTCGCAGGACGTCGGGGGTCCTCAGCCTGCTCCCGGCCCCCTCCGGCAGGGACCGGGCAGCGGGAGGCCTCACCCAGCACAGAGGCCACAGATTTGGGTTGTTTCGGGAACGGGAATCGTCCCTGAAATAATAATTTCCCCTCTTTCAACTGAAAGAAGATCGGCGCGCAGGCGTAACCACAGCCGGCGGCGCTCGGAGGCACCGAAGAACCGCCACGGGCTCGGACCCGCCGCTGATCAGTGTCAAGATAAAATAAAATAAAATAAAAAAGAAAAACAACAGAACCCAAATTGTCCCCAAGAACTTTCCGAAGGGCAAAATCCCTTTCCCGGGGTGGGGGGCAAAAGAGTGAAGTGGCTGTTTAACTACATCTTCCCCCACCCTGCAATCAACCAAAGGGTTTTTTTGTCCCAGAACAGCTGCGGAAACAAACGCTGCTGCCAACTCTCGTGGCAACCCGGGATGTAACTCTGCACGGGGCGCTGGAGTAAATGAAGAAAAAAAGAGAAAGAGAGGGGGGGGAAAAAAAAAAAACACAAACCAAGAGTTTGTGGTAATAAATGGTGTAAAGATTTACCAGCTGGCGGGACGGTGCCGGGGCTGAACGGAGCCCTGCGAATCCCGCTGGGGAGGGGAACTCTGCTCCGCTCCCCGGGATTCGGGTTTTGAGATAAAGAGCCCGGCGAAGGGGAGGGCAGGAGATTTGCTCCTCCAGAAGTCACAGCACGCGAGATAAAACAAACCAGGCTTCTCCTGGGAAGGCGGCAGCAGCCAGAGAGGGTTAGGGGTTTTTTTTTGGGGTGGGAAGAGCAGAAGAGGCAAATTATGTACCCAGGGTGCCACAAAAAGCACCAGAACGGTGCAGGGTACAAAAGGCAACAAGGAGAAACAATAGGGGTGGGGGAAGAGAGAAGAAATGAAGTCATCCAACCGAAGGGTGAATAAATTTGTTTCCCGGCAAGGCCAGAAAACACACGCTGGCTCCCCAGTTTCATCCCAGAGCTGAAGTTTGGGGGGGGGGGGGGGGGGGAAGGATCTCGCGGCGTGTGGGGCTTTGGGAAGGGGGAGCGGGGTTTCGGCTCTGTCACCGGTCCCCGCCGGTGTTGGGGCGGGGGGGGGGGGGGGGGGGTGATGCCCGCCGGTTCCCTCTCTGGGGGAAAAACCGGGCTGAGCCGCCCCGTTTATCCCCTCCCCCCCCCCCGGAGCCGCTTCCGAGCGCCCCGCCGAACACGCCAGCCTGCTTCCCTGGTATTAAAAACAATCAAATTATAAAAAAAAAAAAAAAATAAGCACGAAAAGCGGCGGAAGGAGGAGGGGGGGGGGGGGTTGTGTGAAGCGAATAACCCCCCCGCGCCGTTCCGGATGGAGCCCCGGGGGTTGGGGGGGGGCCGGGCCTCCCCACGTCGGGTGGCGGGCCCCGGGGTGGGGGTGGGGGGGTGCGACCGTGTTCCTGAAGGCGGGAAAACCGGGGTGGGGTGGGGGATATGTGGGGAAAGGGGGGGGGGGGGGGGTAGAACCACCCAAATACACACACAGACCACCCCCCCCCCCCCCGGCCCGGGGGCCTCACCGATCGCTGGAGCTCGCCCAGCCAGCAGCTCGCCCGCTCCTTGCCGCTGGGGTCGGGGTCGTGGTAAAGCGCCTGCACGGCTTGGTAGACCACCTGCAAGCTGGGCTTGCCGCCCTCCATGGCCGCCGCCCCCCCCCCCCCCCTCAGCGCCGCCCGCCGCCCGCCGCCATCTCCTCGCTCCGGTACCGGGACGGCGACGGTGCAACCGCAAAGCGGCTCCGTGTCCTTCCCTCACCCCCACCCCACCCCCCGCCGCCTTCCCCTCACACACAGTTCCGCTTCCGCCGCCCGTTCCTTTCCGTTCCGCCGCCTTTCCTTTCCCTTCGCCGTTTTTTTTGTTTTTTTGTTTTTTGTTTTTTTTTTTTCCGCCCCCCCCCCCAACCCATTTTATCGCTCCGCTCCCCCCCACACCCACCCCCCACCACGCCCGGAACGGTCCCGCCGCGGTTCCGGGGGTGCGTGGGGCAAAGCGGCCCGTGGCGCGCCCGGCCCCACGCGGAAGGGAACGTGCGCCGCGGCGGGAAGGACCCACGGACACCCCACCCCCCCACACGCCATCACCCCAACCCCCCCCCCCCCCCGCCATCGGCCCGGCACGGGGGGGCACCCACCGCCTCCTTACCCCGGGGGGGGGAGGGGGGTGTCACACCCCCCACGGCCACTCGCGGTGCCCTGGGTGTACCGGGACCGGCCGCCCCAGTCCCCGTAGCCCAGGCTGGGGTCCCACCACCACCACCCCCCCCCCAGTCCCACTCTCCTGTCCCGCTACCCCTCCAGTCCCACAGTGCCACCCCACTGGGGTCCCACCGCCCCCCAGTCCCATTACCCCCCTCCCAACGGGATCCCGTTAACCCCCCAGTCCCAATATCCCACCCCACTGGGGTCACATCCACCCCCCAGTCGCACTATCCCATCTCATTGGGGTTCCATTACCCCCCCGGTCCCTGGATCCCATCCCAACGGGATCCCATTACCCCCCCGGTCCCTGGATCCCATCCCAACGGGATCCCATTACCCCCCCGGTCCCTGGATCCCATCCCAACGGGATCCCATTACCCCCCCGGTCCCTGGATCCCATCCCAACGGGATCCCATTACCCCCCCGGTCTCAGGATCCCATCCCAACGGGATCCCATTACCCCCCCGGTCCCTGGATCCCATCCCAACGGGATCCCATTACCCCCCCGGTCCCAGGATCCCATCCCAACGGGATCCCATTACCCCCCCGGTCCCTGGATCCCATCCCAACGGGATCCCATTACCCCCCCAGTCTCAGGATCCCATCCCAACGGGATCCCATTACCCCCCCAGCCCCACTACCCCACCCCGCTGGGGTCCCGTTACCCCCCAGTCCCAGCATCCTGTCTCCTCGGGGTTCCATTAGCCCCCAGTCCATCCCATTCCACTGGGGTCCCTTTACCCCCCCAATCCCCTTACCCCATTCCACTGGGGTCCCTTTACCCCCCCAGTCCCCTTACCCCATCCCACTGGGGTCCCTTTACCCCCCCAGTCCCCTTACCCCATTCCACTGGGGTCCCTTTACCCCCCCAATCCCCTTACCCCATTCCACTGGGGTCCCTTTACCCCCCCAGTCCCCTTACCCCATCCCACTGGGGTCCCTTTACCCCCCCAGTCCCCTTACCCCATTCCACTGGGGTCCCTTTACCCCCCCAATCCCCTTACCCCATTCCACTGGGATCCCATCCCCCCCCAGTCCCCTTACCCCATCCCACTGGGGTCCCTTTACCCCCCCAATCCCCTTACCCCATCCCACTGGGGTCCCTTTACCCCCCCAATCCCCTTACCCCATCCCACTGGGATCCCATCCCCCCCCAGCCCCCTTACCCCAGCCTTGCCCAGTGTGCCCCCATTAATCCCACTGCTCTCCCTTCCCCCCTCCGTTCCCAGCCCCTGGGGTCCCCTTGTCCCCCCCCCCCACCCCGGGATAACTCAGCACCATCCCACGAGCCCCCCCAGCCCCACGGGGCTGCCCCCATCCCTTTTTTTTTTTGACCCTTCTCTGAATACCCAGAGTTGGGAGGATCAGCGGGAAAAGAGCTGCTTCCCCCCGCCCCGCTCTCAGCGTTTCTGGCAGGGAAAGGGTCAAATCCAGACCCCCATATCCCACCCGGGACACCCCCCCCCCCCCCGTGAGCCGGACCCCCCCTTTGCCTCCAGTCCAGCGCTCCAGCTCCAAACGCGGCTGCGGGGCTGATCCAGACCCACGTTTGGTACAAATTTGGTACAAATGCCAACTGCGGCGGGAGAGCGGAGCCGTGCGCTTGAAACCAAGCGATCTGGCACAAAAAGACCCCGAGAGAGGGGAGAGAGACCCGAAATGGAGCCGTTTGTGGGGTCTTCTGGAAGAAGAGGGTTTGGGACAGGCCGGTCAGACCAGCTCCCCGCACCCTGGAGCTACAGGATCCGCGCGATATATTGTCTTTTACAAATATGTTAAACTTGGATATATTAAAATCCCAGACCAGAAGCTCACCAGGCGCATGGGTGGTGAACCCTCAGATTCCAGACCCCGCGATCTCTGCAGATAAAAGACCAACCGAGGGCTCTACCACCTTCCGAGCACAGGCTGCACCCAAAAGTGGCTCCTGTAGGATGACGTCGCGTTGGCCATGAAGCCACGTTGGCCACCAAGCCATGTTGGCCACCAAGCCGCGTTGGCCATGAAGCCGTGTTGGCCATGAAGCCACATTGGCCACCAAGCCGCGTTGGCCATGAAGCCGTGTTGGCCATGAAGCCATGTTGGCCATGAAGCCACATTGGCCACCAAGCCGCATTGGCCACCAAGCCGCGTTGGCCATGAAGCCGTGTTGGCCATGAAGCCGTGTTGGCCATGAAGCCATGTTGGCCACCAAGCCGCGTTGGCCATGAAGCCGTGTTGGCCATGAAGCCACATTGGCCATGAAGCCACGTTGGCCATGAAGCCACATTGGCCACCAAGCCGCGTTGGCCACCAAGCCGCATTGGCCATGAAGCCATGTTGGCCACCAAGCCGCGTTGGCCATGAAGCCGTGTTGGCCATGAGGCCACATTGGCCGTGAAGCCATGTTGGCCATGAAGCCACATTGGCCACCAAGCCGCGTTGGCCACCAAGCTGCGTTGGCCATGAAGCCGCGTTGGCCATGAAGCCGTGTTGGCCATGAAGCCATGTTGGCCATGAAGCCACGTTGACCATGAAGCCGCGTTGGCCACCAAGCCGCGTTGGCCATGAAGCCATGTTGGCCATGAAGCTGCGTTGGCCACCAAGCCGCGTTGGCCATGAAGCCGTGTTGGCCATGAAGCCACATTGGCCATGAAGCCATGTTGGCCATGAAGCCACATTGGCCACCAAGCCGCGTTGGCCACCAAGCCGCGTTGGCCATGAAGCCCCGTTGGCCACCAAGCTGCGTTGGCCATGAAGCCCCGTTGGCCACCAAGCCGCGTTGGCCATGAAGCCGTGTTGGCCATGAAGCCGTGTTGGCCATGAAGCTGCGTTGGCCATGAAGCCACATTGGCCACCAAGCCACATTGGCCACCAAGCCGCGTGGGCCATGAAGCCATGTTGGCCATGAAGCCGTGTTGGCCACCAAGCCGCGTTGGCCACCAAGCTGCGTTGGCCATGAAGCCGCGTTGGCCACCAAGCCGCATTGGCCATGAAGCCGCGTTGGCCACCAAGCCGCGTTGGCCACAACTGCTCTTACTCGAGATGGAGAACGACGGGGCCAAACTCATTCCTCAACCAACCCCACCAGAGCCGAGGGGTGAGGGTGTATCAACATCTAGACGGCGTTTTAACGGCAGGAGATTCCTCCGACAAGGTCTGGAGAAGCTGTAACCACATCCCCGCCCATCTGGAAGGGAAGGGGGTCTCCATCCCTCAAGGAGAATGATGGGGACCCAGCAAAACAGTTTGATTTTTAGGTGTAAGGTGGCAGGCGGGGTATTCCCTCCCACACCTCACTGCGGACACCCAGGTGGAGGTTGCCTTGGATGAGAAGTTGCTCCTACAAGATTTGGGAACTTCAGGACTTGGAGGAGCTTGTAGGGATCCCGAGGAGGCCACATCCTACAAGTGTGTCAATGGGGATTGTGGCAACAAGCTCCCGGTGGAGCCCCGTTAACTTCTATATGGTCTGGGTCAACCTTGGGGTGGCAAGGTTCCCCACCGTGGTGGCCACAGTGGGATGAACCTCTACTGGCTCCTTCCCTGTGGGATACCAGACCCATCGGTGGAGATGCACCCTTAAAACATGGACCCTGTTCCCCGTCCTTGAAAGGTGGGGAGACTCTGCTCCTGCTTCCCAGGGAATCCCACAGCCCAGCGCGATCCAGAAGATTCAGAAGCTCCTGACGCACCGTGACTGGCCCAAGGGGAACACCCAGGACATGACATCTTCGTCTGATGACGCAGGTCTACGGCATGGATTGGCGATCCAGGGGGAACCACCAAGCAGATCCCTTGTCCAGAGGACACACACGCCCCCTCCACCTCCGATAGTGATGGTGGGCCAGCTACATGCCCACCTAGGACAACCTGAGGGGTGGTAGATACTTGTGGTCCTTGTGGCAAATAGATTTTATAAGACCCCAATGTCCAACTCCTAATAAATGGGAGAGTTCCAGCAGTTTACAGGATATAGTTTAACGGGGTCAGAGGTCGGCAGCGGTTTAGGTGTGTGTCCTCAGGCTCATGTGAACATCAGACCATGGTTCACACAGCATCAGACAATGGAACACATTTCAAAAATAAAGATATACAGAGGTGGGCGGAATCCAGAGGAATTTGGTGGATCTTCCACAGCCCTCGTCATCCCCAGCCCAATGATATTCCTGAACAACCTTCTTAAAACTCAACCGTGACTCAGCACTTGGACCAGTGGGTCCCAATCTTCAACCGGTCGCTGCCCGTGTCACGGGTGGCAACGTCACCTTGACAGGGTGGTGGCTGCTTCAGGCAACCCGTTGACCATAACTGGTCATCATCATAATCCGATCTGGAAAGCTTTTGATGGCAACCATGGTGTAACTTCAACTTTGGGTATAAATGATGAGCATCAGCTGTCCGTTGGACAAACCGTCCAGGTTGATCATCCGCAGTAAGACCATTCTCCTTCCTAATGCCTCTTTGAAGCTCCACATGGAAGATGCTCAACCTCCAGAGGAACGATCCTCTCGTCTCACAGCGGTGGGCACCCAAACGCTGGTTACTCGGGTT